AGTCTACTGTGATTGGATGTTGGTTTAGTCTTTGCTTTTGTTCTTTTCTCATGATCAAGATTTGGGACGTAAACATTGACGTAAATTGCTGTCTACCAATTTGGCTAGCAGACTGCACTCACCACACCACTCTATACAAAACGAAACCTGATCCATTCAGTGAGCCACAGAATCCGCAGGGCAGCAAAATCTATGAAACCTACACCCTCAAAACTGCCCACACTTTCTGCTTCCAAAAAATTTCTCTACCTGAATCTACAATTCAATGGGGACTCATAGGCAGAAATACTGAAAAACGACCTGTGCCGCTCACTGAAGACAACCTTCTTCTCGACTGAACGCCGATTTAACTTCTCTACGAAACCAATGATTCACATGAACGTGAAGGTTAAGCTACCCTCTGCTGGCCTCATCAATGTGTGTCTACCAATTTACCTGCTCGTATGGAGCTACGTATGTCGGCTATACCCAGAGTTTCCTATCCAAAAGTATCATTGAACACTTGCCATCATGGTTTTATAAAGGAGAAAAAAGGTCCCCTCGAAGATCTATTCTGGAACACCTGGTTGAATCAGGGCACTAAGCTAACCCACAACGCAACTCCAAAGTCATCTACAGAAAACATGAGAATCTTCCTAAAAGAGTACGAATTAAACTACTTCAAACCTCACAAGCATTGGCAGTTCACATGTTGAATCCTGAACTCTGCATACAAAAGAAATTAGTTCAGTCATTAAATCTTCAGTGAACCTGACCCATCTTAACACTAAATAAGTAATTTTTATTTCGTCTTTTCCTTGCTTGTTTGTTTCTCAATTGTATAATATTTTCTTCCTCCACCCCTTATCAGATCTAACCCCCTTATCACTACTGTTGTTAACCTGACTTTCGTTCAATTTTAATTTGAGCTGATCTCTATTCAACCCGTCAATGAGACTACGTCGAAAAGAGTAACTCTTCTCTAAACGTCTTTTCTCTTATAAAATAGATTTAAACGACTGAGTCGGGGCATAATATTCCCTATAAAGTGACTGGACAAACTAGAATTCGGAACTTAAGCAACCAATTACAATAGTTATCTATAGACTTAGCTTTCCAAGATTAGTTATATTTACAATATGATGTATTTTTGCATAATAAAAAAATCGATTGTTCTAACGGGTTGGGATCAACCTATCTCCTAGCTTTATTTTTCTTTGACCTCTGAAGGTCAAAATTGATTGATTGGAAAAAAAGGAGTTTTGCTACTCAATCGCCAGTGAGTTACTTATCGCCTTGTAACAACAGAAGACAAGGGCCAGGTAACAGATCGTTCATTTAGGAAATCAACAGATATTTATAGATTTTCATGTACATTATTATAGATTATTGTAAGGAAACAAACACCGTCTTCTGATTGGTGGTTTCTCGTTGAACGTTAATCTTTCATCTCTTTGTGGCCGTTTATTGAAATTCTGATTATCTATCTGTAAATTGAATTGGGCTACCAAAAGTTTGCTGTGATTGATTGTTGAATCAGTCTTTGTTCTTATTTTTTTTTCAAGACTAATATTGGGGACGTAAACATTGACGTGAATTACTGTCTACCACTTTTGGTTAGCAGCCAGCTCTCACCACAGCCTTACTGTATAATATCCTAGTTACAGCATTGTTATTATCGTTAGGGATCATTTCAACCCAAATGAAATTCAGTATTGTTATCCAGCTTGAACATCAGCAGCCTTTTAGTTCATTTCAAATTTCGTGACAGGTTACCAGCTTTATCAGTATAAATTTGATACCATTGCCAGTAGTATTCCTTTCGTTTGCATATCAGTTTTTTGAGGTGTTACCTATAGTTGGGAAAAATGTTGTTATGAATCCTTCATGCTTGAAGAAATCAATAAAAAGCAGCTTAAAATGATGAATGGGGTAGAAAATATTATATCACTCACGTCTGTAGAAGAGAAAGAAAGCGGAAAAGGACTACTCACTATCTGTAAACAAGAAGCCTCTTTATATACGACTGCAATTCAAAGGTGAAATAATTACGAAGAAATTAACAAAATCAGTTCAAAGAACTTTTAATGCTGACAAACTACACGTCTTATTCTCTACACGACCGATGGTGCTACCTCGACTGAAAGATGAAGTACCTAGACTAGCCACTTCAAATTGTATCTACCAATTCAACTGCGCTTGTGGAGCGAGTTATATTGGCCGTTGCTCTAGGAACTTGATTTTTTGGTCTCGAGAACATCTCCCAGTATGGCTAAGTAAAGGTGTAGTTAAAACCATTAACAGTTCGATATTGGACCATCTGGTGCAAACCGGCCATAAAGCCAGCCACCATTGAAGAATCCTTCTCTATCATCTACCGGATGCCTAATAAATTGCCAAAAACATCGAAGTACCGCATACTCCAAACAGCAGAGGCTATTGCAATTCGCCTCAAACAACTAGTGCTCTGTGTTCAAAAGAAGCCACTACTACTGCCCCGGCCTTCAGTAGAGAATATAAACTCATGAATTGGTAATATTATCTTTCATAATTTTTCTGACATTCAGCTTATTTCATATTGATGCTATTGAACTGTAATCTGTTGTTATTATTGATTCGCTGTTATTTAAACATTAATGTTGTTCATAACACTAATTCATTCATTCACTATAATGTATATATAACTGTAGAGCCTGATGATGAAGTTATCGAAAAGAGTATTTTTTGTTCAGTATCCATTCTTTTGACAGATGATATTGTTTAGTTGATGACCTGATGGATCAATACAACGATCCATTTACTGAAAACCTACACAGACAGGATACTATCATAAATAACACAGCTTCTCTTCTGTTCAATACAATGGAAACCTAATGAGGGGCCTCTTTCGTAGGATTCAACGAATATGCACAGAAGACGCACTTGAAGTAGAGGCAAAAAATACTTACAGAAACTTTGGGCAAAAATAATTACTCAGAGAAGTTCAAGCTTGAGCTTTGAAGGTTCAGTAGCAATAATGTTTATTACAGGTTGAAGTTGTTAACGTCGAGTCCATCTTTCCCTTTTTACGGGGCTGGGGCTTAATACTGGTTAAGTGAAGTATAAAATTGCGTCGAAAGGGTATGGGACCTCGGACCACGTTGTTGGTTGGAAAGCATTCTACAGCTGAATCATCGGCACCTCTAAGAAGGATATATTTATGAAGGTACCCCACGTGATATTAGCTCGATACCATTTAGACAAAGATTGAATATTGTGATTAGAAAGACTTTTTATGCAGCTAAAATAGGGATAATTGAGAATACGGAAACCCATGCATTCATCTAAACCGTCAGAGCATACAAAAAAGAATGATGTAACATCCCGTTGTATCTATCACTTTAAGTGTACGTATGGTCACACACACACTCTTGAGAAGTACTCATCGATCTTGAAAACTGAAGGCTTCACAAGCTAATCTAATCCCCTGAATCCATTAATGATGAAAACAAGCGACCTAAGTCTTCTATTGTACAGACTGTTATAGATTCAAGGCTCTTAAATATACCGGTGCCTAACAAATTACCAAAATCGTCGAAGCACCGCATGCTCCAAATAGCAGAGGCTATTGCAATTCACCTCAAACAACTAGTGCTCTGTGTTCAAAAGAAACAGGTCCAACCCCTACTACTACCCTGGCCCTTAGTAGAAACTATAAACTCATGAATTTGTACTATTATCTTTCATAATTCTGACATTCAGCTTATTTTATGTTGATGCTATTGAGCCGTAATCTATCAATATTATTGATTCGATGTTATTTAAACATTAATGTTGTTCATAAGACTAATTCATTCATTCATTATAATATATATATAATTGTAGAACCTGATGATGAATTTATCGAAAAGAGTACTCTTTGTTCCGTGTCCATTCTTTTATAAAAATTGATGTTTACACCTTTTTTAAGCCTATTTATAAGACAATATTTAGGGCGTATCCTAAAGTTTGTGGAAGCTCTAGTGATTATGAAGTTTAAACTACCTTTTATGTATTCAAAAACAATTTTGTTTTCATATTAAACCTTCTTTGGTAAACTTTATTTTGATATCAAGATCTTTCTTCTTTGATTTATTGTTCTCTATTTTTGTTATAACTTTCAAAATAGAGTCTGTCAAATTGGCCTACTTCTGTTCTCTTATCCACTTACTGCTTTATGATTATTCTCTTGTATAAATGCCTTCGTAGGCTAAAAGACCCGGTGGGTTGACCCAATTAAACAAAATAATATAATTTAAAAAATACCTTGCAATGACTATGAGTTAGGTCAACTACATAGGTGAAACTAGTAGGTCGGGGGTAGTCAGATTGTCGGAACATAAGAATTTAGCTAAGGTAAGAATGGTTGACCCCGAGAAGATAAGTAATTTAGAAAAAAGCTCAGCAATTGCACTGTATGCAAGTAGGTGGAGGGAGAGATTGATTACTGAATCCCGCCTGGTTCATCGAGTCTACACCCAACACATGCAACAGAAATGAATCAATGCAAATACTACAGATATGGAGGATATTATTACCACCAGTCAGTCAAATCAGAGGAGGATAATAAATAATCTTAAAATTCTATCTCAATTCACGTACATTATAACATTCTAACAAGTTACTTATTTTGACTATAAAAACATCTTATTTCTCATCTGATAACACTCATATCATTATTTCTGAATGTACATTATCCTATATTGATTTTTATTCAAATATCTAATCAATTCCACACATGTATATAAATGAAGGAAAAAGTTGTGTGAGTATTGACTTGATATGATTATGAGCAGGAATAATTTGTGCTCGAAACGTGGTCATCAGTTAATATTACTGTGTAACACTGTGTGATTTATCAAAATAAAATCTTATCCATAATGGAGTTATACTCTACCACAGTGCCCAAAGTTTATACTTATATCAACTATGATAAGCACTTGTGTTATCGGATTGTTCAAAATTTGTTGCACAGTTACACTACACAAATCAGGTAAATTGCATCTTCTTCTTTTTGTTTTATCGGAACACATTGAACAAATGTAACACAGAATTTCTTTATTAGATCAACAGATAAATTTCAGATCCACAAAAAACAGACAAAACAAAAAACAAACCAGCAACAACAATAACAATGGCAACAGTGAAAAATGTTTGTCATCAATTTCACTTATATTTTCATGTGCATAATCAATTTATTTTTTTATTTTTTCAAAATTGCTAGTATTTGCTAGTATTGCCCATGCAAAATGGCGCTTTAGCACACAATCATTAAAAACCAGAGCAGTTTTTTTCATTTACATTGATGTGGAAAAAAAGGCTATGAGAATTACGCATAATTGAAATACATTATGGCTAAAATTTATATCTTTCAAAAAAAAGTTTACATTGTAAAACATCATGTGTAAAAAAGTGTATACTTATATTCCGTTTAAGTAGTATATTTCTAAACAATAAATTTTCGCATTGATTCCGAAAATGATAATCATTGTGATCATAATGAAAGATTATTATATATGTGAGTAATATAGTGATTTCAAGTAAAAGAAGAAGAAGAAGTAGAAGTAGGTGAAGGGCACACAATCAATCAATCAGTTCAGTCTGTTTCCCCCTTTATACTATTATCATCGCCTAACTTTAACCATTTTAATTCATTATTTTTAACACGATTTTGTCTATTCTCAGCTTTCTCCTTTAAACTAAAGTATAAAACTTGTAGACAGGCGAATAGAGTCAATATCATTTTCCCGTTCAAATCTCTTAAATGTTCTGGTAAGGCGAATACTCTAGCTCCAGCTTTACGACAACATGATATTGCATACTGACATAATGAGAAGTCATCATTATTTCCTTCTAGCCAAATACTTTGATTTGTTGAATTCGGTTTAATATGTTCAAGGAGTTGGAGTACAGGAATACCAGAACTCAAGGCTGGATCACGAAAACTACTTATGGTTTTAGCATTTGCTTCAGACAATTGTTCATTTACCCAACGGAGAATATCTTTATCGTCAGAGGGTAGATCCTGTCCACCTTTTGTAGCCTAGATGCACAAAAAAAAACAACAAATCATTGGAAGACAATAAAATGAAATGATGTGAACATTGGAGCAGAAGAAATAATCAGAAAAACACCTTCAATTACTGATTTAAGGCTTACAGACATCTGATATGTTTGTTACGCATCTATTTCTGTAGTAATAAATAATGGGCTAAGGTGTACCTTGGTAGTTCGGTGGTAAAAGGCCCATAAAGCATTTGAGATATCAGGGTTAGAATTCCTGGACGATGTACTCTTAATCTGCCCCTCCATAATTTGCTAGCCAGCACTAGTGTTGTGTCTGGAGGCCTATTATAGTTAACTACAAACGAATCACTAACACCCTTTTTAATATTGGTTAACATTCACTTACTAGGAACTATATTTTGAGACTATATACCTCTTTAATGTAGGACAGTGAGAGAAACACTGTGAGTTCAAATAACCGATATGACTGACACTTACTATACTTTTTGTAGTGAATTCCACTACTTCACCCTTTCACTTAATGGCTATCGAAAAGTTTATCTTTCTGATGATATTAGAAGGTGGTTGGAGGCAATCGGCAGGAAGCCTTGCTCGACCTAGGTTTCGTGCTAGTTGGCACTCATCATCAAATCAATGTGCATGGTGATGGCGAGGTACCTAGAATGCTGGCCACATTGCAAACCTGACTGATAGAATTCAGTCTGCACCAAAGAAAGGACTAGACACATCACACTAGTTACACTAGTATCCAATCAAAGTTTTCTTTCTGTTTGACATCAGTGTTTCACAACTTTTGAGACTAAAAATGATAGATACCGCGTCTTCACTTCTTCCCTAATCTATGACTGATGAAAATAAGCGATGAAACACAAGTGTCATGAGAGTCATATTACTTCACAGGAAGCAATGTGAACAAAGTCGCCTAAATTCTCTGTCACTTCTATCATTTAGCCAATAAATATCAAAGATATCGCTATTCTAATCGATAAATTAGTATCTATTTTTTCCGATATCCTCAAATTTTATCTGAATTAACACATTCATTAGTTTTATTTATGTGTCAATGGTTCACAAGGTAGAATACCTGCCAACTACGCACGTCGTCAGGCTTAAATTCCCCGTCGACGCACTCCTAACAACTCACTTACCCAGTAGTTAGCTCATGAGAGAGGGAAGGTTGTTTGTGTGTATGTGTGCGTGTATATATGAGGCTAGACATGAAATCCTTTAGAAATTCAAGTACATATCAGTGAAGGTAAGTAACGTGCTCTATGCTGAAAGTTTGGTTTCTCGGACGTTTCAATGTCATACTTGACATCCTAAGCACAGAGTTGGTGAAAAAAACAAGTTTTCTAATCTTTAGCTAGATATTTGTAACTTGCCAGTGGTAAAGTCTCTGAATGAAGGTACTATGGGATGCTGGTCTGAATCTCCAAGGTTGCAGATACACCTTGCTGACGACTGCCAGTAGGCACGAAACCTAGGTCAGACACGGGTTCCTGCCAATTGATTGTAAACAAAATGGAGGGTTATTAAGGTCAATGAGAATGTTGAAGACGTGGCTAGTCAGCACCAAGACTTAGGGCTAGATATTATGATTCCGGTTACTGTCTAGTAACTGATAACTAGCATGACATCGAAACGTCTACCAATTAATTCGGAAAAAAGAATAAGCAATTTTTACACACACACATTTATATATACACGCACAAACTTACTTCATAGAGTAGTTTAAACATATAAGCATGCATCAGTGTAAAACACACGCCGAGTATTAACTTTCTATCCCGATTTTGAATATCTTCCCCGCTAACATTTACCAAGCGTATATTAATTGATTTAGCCGAATCCACAACTAGACTACAATTGCCTAATTCTTGAAATAATCGTCTTTTTGGATCAAAATTTTGCACAACTAACGACCAATCCACTGTACCTGGTTTAATTTTATCAACTAATTGCAACAGAACTAATCCATTACTCAGGTCTGTGTATAAAAAGGTGACATATGGTTTAACACCGAGTGAATTCATCCAATTTCGATAAGTTCTTTCCTCGAGTGTTTCACCTTCTATCAGTAGATCACCACGTGAAGCATCCAGCCCAGGATACATATTGAATAAGGTGGCAAGAAAGGCGAGATTCAATCGATCACGATTTTCTTTATCTTTATCCCCAGCTAGATAGATATCTTCTGGTGCAAGTAAAAATGGTGTATTCAGTGTTTCAGCATTATTTAAAACATTTATCGCTCTTTCTTGACGACTAGATGAACTGAGGATCTCTTCAGCAGACATTAGATTTCGACGTTTATCCAACGGGGCAATTTGATCAATTAAATGAGCGTATACCACGGAGTCGGCTAAATCTGAATTGAAATTTGTTATGCGTCTATCACAACCAGCCCGGTGGAGATGATAATTAACCCAACGCATCAACAGTTCTTCTGGTTTCAATGCAGCCAAGTCTTCAGCATTTTCACCATCATGTAATAGTGATAATAATTCCGCATGTTTATTCAATGTGATTGTATCAACTAGTCCTCTACGAATCAGTTGCCATATCAATCCAAGAACAATATGACGTTTGCCTTGCATAATATCCTCTGGACCCGTGTTCACTACACAACATCCAATTGACGCAGCGGAATTCACAGCCAATGTAAGATTTTCATGAACCTAAATAATTAAAAAAAAAATAAAAATAAACTAACACCTTTGAAATTTGACTGTTAGTAGTTATCAGTTAAAACAAATCAGCGTTTCAAGGAGAATCTATAAAACACAAAATAATTGAGCAAAGAGAATATCCTTTTCGATAAATTCCTCTTCTGGCTCTACAATCATAAATGCATGTTTATATACATAGAATATTCTAGAATAGTAGTCAATAACAATATTAGTATTTTTTAAAATAATATCGATATAGTAGCAAATAGAATATCAATTAAAATTAGGAAAATTCCACAAAAATTCAGGATCATTCAAACCTAGATGGCCAAGGTAAGGACAATGTCTGAACTAACTTCTTTTGGACACATAAATTAGGCTTCTTAATGTGGATCCCAACGGCCAGCCTCAGCAATATTTAGTAATCGAACTCTTAAGGCGAAGTTAAGATTTGTTGGTATGCGGTAAATGACTTTGAAAGCCTCGTTGACATCAATCTTGTGTTCTGTATCCACAAGATGAGATAGAATAGCGCTACGAATGGATTTTGTTTGTCCTTTACTTAACCAACCACGCAGGGTGATGTTCGGAAATCCGACAAGAAACACGCCTAATTGTACGGCCTATGCAACTAACTGGCTCACTTCACAGGAGCAGTTAAATTGGTAGATACACATGGAAGAGGCGAAATCATAATACCAAAATAAAAAGTAACCTTACAATGTTACTCACGTGCCCTTATAAATCCATAAATTTTATCCATTAGGACAACAAAAAGTCGATAATAACAAGTAACAGACTAAGTTTTGAATTTTAAACGTAGGATTATAAACAGAAATATGTAGATTTGATGAATCTAGGTGAATACACCTGTGCTATTGGATTTTAGAGTCACGAAGACCTGAACCAGACAGTCTATACCTTTCTGTTGGTCTGAAACCAATGGTGAGAAGGCTTCATGGATTGATCCAAGGTTCTGATTTGAACATCCTTAGATTTCTTCCCATCTAACACCCTGTATCAACTCACATTACTCGACAAGGAAGGAGATAGTTCGTATGCGGAACTTCTTTTCTAACCATTTTAATCAATGTGGCTTCACAATTTTATCGGATGATTTTTCTCCCCTTACGTAATGCTTTAGGTTTAACCTCAGTATGACTAATCATATTATACTACTTAATAGAGGAGACATAACACGAATACCTGTGGTTAAAGATAGCCAGTCTCTTCAAATCCCATTGTAACTCCCTCAGTTTGTTTCTATATATTCTCTTTGGAATTTAAATACTGTGGAAGTCAGGCATACCTGTGCTCCCAGTATTATGTCGTCTAGTGGCACTTTTATTTTAAGTTCAAGTTTTTGGGAAACTCACGGAATCCTTCAAAGTGAAGGCGGGAGTAACACAAGGCTACCTGCTATCTCCAATGGTTTTTGTAACTGAGGTAGACTGGGTAATGCGGCAGACAGCAGGCATAAAATGGACCTACACAAAACACTTGAAGGATCTGGACTTCGCCGATGATATATGTCTGATTTTCCACAAAATGGAAGATATGCAAGTGAAAAGCAACAAGTTGGCAGAAGAAGCATCACAGATAGGACTTCAGGTGAACATAGAGAAAACAGAGGTGATGAAGATTCCTGGCCAACAGAAACAGCGACAACAACAGACAACAATCAGCATAAATGGGAGAAATCTGAAAGAAGTAATCTCCTTTACCTACCTACCTACCTACCTACCTACCTACCTACCTGGGAAGCATCGTCTCAACTACAGGCGGACGGAACTGACGAGGATATCAAAGCGAGGATAGAGAAAGCAAGGCAAGCTTTCATTACTCTCAAGTCTGTGTGGAGATCAACAGCACTCAGCATGAAAATGAAAATAAGATCCGGATTTTCAACTCCAATGTGAAGTCAGTGCTACTTACTATACGGATCAGAGACTTGACGCCGCGTCACGAAGGGCACTTCAAACAAACTACAGACCTTCATCAACAGCTATCTTCGCTCAATACTCAAGATTCGATGTCCGAAAATAATCATCCTGTTTTGATTAGGACTTCAACACATTTAAGTATATGAGACAAATATATCATAGAGGCAGAGAAGACAAAACTGATGAAAGTACCTAACTAGCAATAACCACAGGCACCAGTCACCATCAACGGGAAAAATATAATGGAATTCACCTCTTTCGCATATTTAGGCAGCATCGTTTCAAAACTACAGTCGACTCCACAGATGAGTAGGCCAAAGCTACTCAGAATCGGAAAAGTAAGACAACACAAGGTACAAGATTCAAATTTTAAGCATTCATGTGAAGTCAGCCGGTGCTTCTGTATAGCTCAGAGATTTAAATCACTCATTGTTAAGAAATTTCCTAGCAAGCTACTTTAAAATTTTATCAATAGTTGACTTCACTCGAGGTACTGAAAAGTTAGATGGGCAGAAACTATAAATAAATATATTACCTTACAAATATACGTGTGGAAGGAAAGAGATGAACTGACCATACACTGAGGAGAGACTAGTGATTGATATCACTCACCAAGAAGGCGGATGAATGGAATCTTGAATAGGAGACGAACAGTTAGATATATGTGTCCGAGGGTGGTAAGCAACACATCGTGTAAGGAGAAAATGAAAGCATTATAGGAAGTTTTGCAGCCTGGTGAAAGTGATGTCAAAGATTTGTGTGCAGTGGCGATTTGCTAGTGAAATCCTGTATTCCAGTCGGAACCCAAGGGAATAATAATGGTAATAATTCAATTGACCTTGGAAACAGATGCCTAACACCATCCTGTCAATTTTCAATATACCGGTGTCGTCAACCAGCCTCATAGATAAGTCTCTGCTTCACACACACACAAACACACGCACATGTCAATTATCATGAAAATGTTTAAACTCTAATCCATTTAAATAACTAAGAATGTGAATTCTTTTAAAACAAAACTATTTCAATTATTTTTTTCTTTTCTTTCATTTCTCTATGATTTATTGTCAATTTTCTAAAAAAGAAAAAAAACACCAAATTGCTAACCTTCAATCATTTTCTCATTTGTTACTCACTACGATAAAGAATACACAAATGATGAGACACAAGTACGACGAATCACAACATATATTTGATGATAAATAACTTTATAAGCTTAGAATATATAATGAAGAAAATATTCAAAATATTACCGACAGATGTGTTTGTACGCACATATACTACTTACAAGTACTACTTATATGGCATACTTCATTATTTCTTAATGTGTATTGCTCAAAACAACAACAATAATAATAATAATAATAATATTTATAATGATATGAAGTGTGGTTGTGTCATAGAATTTTGACACACAAAAATAAGTGTATTTTATGAGCATTCTTATTATTATTTCAAGCTAAATTATCAAACAAACTATGCTTAATGGGTTAATGCATAATTCTGGACTGATGATGAATGTGTGTGGGTTTCAGTTTTTGTATGAATGTATGATGATCCGTCTACACTAACATGTTTGTGTACGTGCATAATAAAATAAATACTATGTAAATGGGGTATAATGTGAAACCGCCATCATCAATTTAAGCCTAAAATAGTATGTATTTAACCTTGATTTTCTAAGAATATTTATTACTCACACATACATTATTTTAAAAGTAGTATATATTAAAAAAATAAAACAATTTAACTAACTAACTAACTGACTGACTGCCTGACTGACCCATCGACCAGTCAATCGATCGATAAATCGATTAATACTTTAGTATTCATCATTCAAATATTTCGTTTATATATATATATATATATATATAAAATGTGCTTATTTAATGTATTCTGACATAATGTAATGTTGTGAAATACTGAAACATCACACACACACACTAACAGGCATACACAAAGATCTACATTACTTGACAAAAAGAGAACTATGCATAATACTAATCATTTGTTGAGAATATGGTTGAATAGAGCTAAAAAGAGAAACAGATTAATCACCGTCTCTACACACACACGTACATACTTACAGATAGTCAAACACAATGAGATCCAGAGTTATTGAATAAATTCTTTTTTTTAGAGAAAAGATGACACAATTGAAATAAAGTCAATCATCTTCTCCTTCTTCATCATCAAAATACACTTTTAAGCATACCATTTTGTGAATTTTAAGCATTAAAACAAAAATTATTTAATTACATTTGATTGTATATATGTATATATGATAAGACAAAGGCAATTCAGTCAGCTGTGAGTATAGACTGATTTCTTTGTTACTAGCCGTATTGAATAAGGTTCTTGACTGATGCATCACTCGTAAACCTCGCTTAGCCGGTGGTAGTTTCAGTAGATAGGGAAGGTTTGGCTTAGTAAGCACTGCTACTGCTGCTGAAAGACTGACGTCTTATGTTCTACTCCGAAGAACACTAGTAACTAGTGTGATGTTTCTAGTCCTATCAGTCAGGTTTTGCAATGTGGCCACCATTTTAGGTAGCTCGCCATCATGGTGTACATTGATTTGATGATATTAGATGGTTGGAGGCAATCGGCCTTAGGAAGCTCAAACTGACCTAGGTTTCGTGCTAGTTGGCACTCACCAGTCAGGAAGGTGCATCTGCACCACCTTGAAGGGACTCGTGACCCTTCTGAGATTCGAACCCGTGTCACCCAGTGCTGCCTGCAGTCAAAGACGTTACTACTAAGCTATTCAGACTCACAATTGACCTTCTGTAGGACTCTATTGGATACTTTGATTGGACACTAGTAACTAGTATGGGGTGTCTAGTCTTTTGGTGATCTACCTAGAATGGTGGCCACACTGCAAACTTGACTGATAGAATTCAGTCTGCACTATACAAAAGACTAGACACATCACACTAGTTACTAGTGTCCAATCAAAGTATCCAATACAGTCCTACAGGAGATCAATTGCCAGCCCACTGTCAGCCACCATCGAAAACAGGCGACTTCAAGAATTCGAAATACCTATCAATGAATCTTTTCTTT